AGATTCAGTATTCCTCAAAATGAATAAAAATAATGCAACTCAGAATATGACGCAAACCTGCAATAATTAAATGTTAGACAACACAAATATCCTTTATGTATTTAATCCCATTTTATTAACCAATGTCTTTGCTTCTGACCTTCGATGATCCAGTTCAACCGTACTAATAAGCAAAAATTACTCTAGACAAACATTTGTCTTTTTTTTATTGCTGAAGTGTGTTGAAATTTCTTCTTCTGCATTCTACTGTATGGACGTAAATGTACTTTCCCTTCAGCTTGAGGCTTATTCATTTCACTTCTGGTGTGAAAAGGCTTTTTATATATTGCCAAAAAATAAAACTTTTTTATTTTAAAAACAAACAAGCAAGCCCTGTCCAGATTTCAAAAGTAACGCAAAAGTAACTTAACGCATTACTTTTCATAAAAAGTAACTAAGTAATGTAATGAGTAACTTTTTTATGGAGTAACGCAATATTGTAATGCATTACTTTTAAAAGTAACTTTCCCCAACACTGGTAGTAATGATAAGCAATATTTTACCCAGCAATTTAAAGGTAATAGCATTAAAACTATAGTTTTTTTACAAGTGTTACTTTAAAATATTTTACAAAGTGTGAGTATAATATACTTTAAACAGTAAATTTAGTAATTAAAGCCACCAAGAATTGTGTGTAACCTTTACTTTTACAATTTACAGGTCATTTTGGAGTGAAATTTATTTCCTAATTAGTTTTTTCCCCAAGTAAATCCTACTCCAATTTTTTCCCAGTGCGTGTAGTTTTCTGCAAAATACATATTGATAGCTCTACAATATAAATTATTATAAGCTTGGCAAAGTGAAAGGTAAAGCAAAGACATGGTTACAAGATGGATTTATGAGATGTTCGCGTAATATTAAAAATGTTACTTTCAAACAAACAAAAATAATTACATAGTGTAGCTTTAAATGTATTGTTAAAACAAATGCTTCAGTGCCAGTATGAAAGGTTGATAAAATACCTGTTTTGGTTGTCCTCTGCTGGACAATCTGTGCACTCACAAGAAAAAAAAAAATACTGGGCTGTTCTGTTAACTGATTATATTTCAGTGGCATTTATTACACCGCTGGGTTTTCTGTTTTTCTCTTTTAGGACTGTAACTCTGGACACCAGCGGAGAGAGGGCAGGTCTCTGGACTTCCATGACAGTGCTTCCATATCCATGGGTCCTCTGATGTGGTCTGAAGGGAACACAGGTGAACATTACTTATTTTTTTTTTAATCGTCATTATTTGTAAATAAAGGTTTCTGTTGATTTCTGCTGTGAATGCATTACATTTCATTGCATTATATTCCCTGTTCACAGATAAGTTGCTCCCAGAGCAAGTGAAGGTATCTGAGGCTTCTTGTCTGTGTGCTTCTCTGATGCTTTTATTTATTCCTCTGATGAGTGTCCTGACCCACTTTTAGTATTTTTCCACCAAAAATGTGTAGCGTATTTTCATGCATATTGTCCTGTTCCATTTGAATGAATGTGGCTCTGATGCCACACTGGTTGTGGGTTTCTAATTATTTCATAGAATGTTGTGTGGCCTTTGTTTATTGATTGAGCACCAAAATAAATGATTAAAAAATCTGGTAATTTATGTGAGTTGCTATGTACTACATTAATCTTATTTTACTTTAGAGGTAATTTTACAATAACAAAGATTTTAACCGTCTTTTGAATTGATGATATTAAACTGATTTGTGTAATTGGATCAATCAGGATGGAAAGTGACAAACTAGAGGTTAGTTTTAGACAGAAAAAAAGACATTTAAATTCATGTTTAAACAGTATATCAGAACAAATCTTGTTTAGCTTTAACCTTTTTAATTAGAGAATTAGAGAAAAAAAAATGAAGAAACACCTGCAATGTTTCTGAATAGATTGCACTTTTTCATCTTTTTAATTAAGCGCCATCCTTAAAAATGTGAGAGTGATATTTTATATAGTAGATCAAAGCATATGAAATTAACGTAATGCATTAAGAATTACCAAAAAGGTTATTAATTTTGATGAATAAACAAGGTAGCTTTATATTCTTTCTTTTGTAATCAATTATTGCTTGTAGTAATAGTAAGAAAGAGACTTACTGGTAATTTAGCTTGTTTTCCCTAAAGTTGGTACTGTAAAATGCACGAGAAGTGTGATTCTATTTTCAATTCTTAACAATTTGAAGAATGTTGCTGCAGTGTTTGAATAGTTCTTTCTTATGCGGTAAGATGTGGTGAGGTTCAGTCATTCCTCAAATAACCCCCTCGAGTTTTATTTTAAGAAGGTTGAAAAGAATTGATATTGATATACTGATATCGAAAGGCTGGGTAGGCCAGAGTTCATTTAGTGTCAGACATTTTTGACAAGATCATGTCCAAGCACTCCTCTGACAATCAGCCCTTTTGAAGTACCCTGAAACGCATGTTTAGAAGCATTGACATTTTTTAGAGAGGCACTGAAACGTCAGTATGTTCATGTCAAACCAGTCCTCTTACGCAGTTGCACATCAATCTTATTTTTTATTATTACCTGACACTTGTCTTTCATGGAGACTCCAGGGAGGCTGCAGTTCTGGAAAATGGTGGGACTGGAGACAAAAGACTTCCTGGTGGTTTCACACGTAATTCTTTGCCTTCATTCTTGATTTGTTTTTGCAGTCATGCATCTTCTCAACCAGTTTTTTTTTTGCTTGCAACTCTGCTGACTGTTATTAACAAAGCAATTCATTGTCTGATGGTCACCTTTTTTGTTGTTGTTGAAATTTTCAAAGTGTTGCATCCTTTTCATGGGCATTTTAACTATTGCATTATTTATATCTTGTTGGGAATCTTACTGATCCAGATTGACAGGAACATGATCTGATTCTAGGTCAACATACATTAACTATTGTTTTCACTGTAATATCAGAGCAGGCAGTACACAACAGAGCTGCACAATGAAGTCAACCAATTAAATGGGAAGCATCGATACAATCTCTCACAAAATAAAAAGAAATGTGACACTTCTTCAGGGTATTGTTTAGAGAATACTCCTGGTTCCCGTAATGATCCACCCACCGTTATTAATAAAGGCACTGATAAGATCACGAGAGCTGCAGTTCATTATCACTGTATTCAGCTGCTGAAGAGAGAATCTCTCTGAGTTTGATCTGCAGCAGCATTTGACCTCAGGTAAAGTTATTTCTCTTCATTTCATCACATTGGCCTCCAATTGCTTATTTTATTCATATGCGTTTGATGCACCTAAACAGGCATGAATATGATGTTTTAGCTAATTATTTTGATTATAATGGCTTGGTTTTGCGTAGTGCACAACAAACTTCAGTATTTTAGGAAGCAAATATGATAAATTACTGCCAGGTCATATATGCCTAACACTAAGTAAAAAGAAATTATGAATGCTTTTATGCCTTTTGCATGTGTATCATCATTTTGGTAATGGTGTTACAGATCGGTTTATCACAATGAGGTTTCTGATCTCACTGTTTGTGTT